GAATGAAAGAAAGAAAGAAAGGAATAAAGAAAGAATGAAAGAAAGAAAGAATCAAAGAAAGAAAAAAGAAAGAAAGAAAGAAAAGGAAGAAAAAAAAGAAAATGAAAGAAAAAAAAAAAAAAAAAGAAAAGGAAGAGAGAAAGAAAGAAGAGAGAAAAAGAAAGAAAGAAGAAAAGAAAGAAAGGAATAAAGAAAGAATGAAAGAAAAGAAAGAAATGAAAGAAAGAAAAAAGAAAAAGAAAGAAAGGAAGAGAGAAAGAAAGAATGAAAGAAAGAAAGAAAGGAATAAAGAAAGAATGAAAGAAAGAAAAATCAAAGAAAGAAAAAAAGAAAGAAAGAAAGGAAGAGAGAAAGAAAGGAAGAGAGAAAGAAAGAATGAAAGAAAGAAAGAAAGAAATAATAAAGAAAGAATGAAAGAAAGAAAGAAAGAAAGGAATAAAGAAAGAAAGAAAGAAAGAAAGAAAGAAAGAAGGAAAGAAAGAAAGAAAGAAAAAAAGAAAGAAAGAAAGCAACTGGGAAAAAAAATTAGAACGAGAAAGTAAAAAAAGAAACGAAGAAACGGAACGGAGAAAGAAAGAAAGAAAGAAAGAGAAAGAAAGAAAGAAAGAAAGAAAGAAAGAAAGAAACTAGACCAAGAAAGAATGGAACAAAAGGAACGAAAAAAAGAAAAAAAGAAAGAAAAAAGAAGGAAAGAAAGCAAAGAACAAAGCGATGAAAGAAAGAAAGTAGACAGAGAAAGAAAGGAACAAAGGGAACGAAGAAAGAAAGAATAAAAAAAGGAAAGAAAGAAATGAATAAACTGTGGAATAAGTAAAGAAACTGTTCAAAGAAAGAAAGAATGAAACTAACAAAGGGAACAAATAAAGAAAAAAGAAAGTACTAGATGAAGAAAGAAAGAAAGAAATAAAGAAAAAAAGAAAGATAGAAAGAAAGAAGGGAATCGACAAAGGACGAAATAAACTGCACAAAGAAAGAAAGAAACTGGAAAGAGAAATAAAGGCAGAATGAATAAAGGGAAGAAAGAAAGAAAGAAAGAAAGAAAGAAAGAAAGAAAGAAAGAAAGAAAGAATGAAATTGAACAAAGAAAGAAACTGGAAAGAAACTTGAAAGAGAAGAAAAGAAATAAACGAGCAAGGAAAAGAAAGAATGGAAGAAATTTAAAGTGAGCCGAAATAAATAAAGGAACAAAGACAGATAAGCTAGAAAGAAAGAAAGAAAAAAGAAAGAAAGAAAGAAAAAAGAAAGAAAGAAAGGAAGAATGAAAGAAAGAAAGGAAGAATGAAAGAAAGAAAGAGAAACAAAAGAAGTAAAGAAATTGAACAGAAAAAGAAAGGAAAAAGAAAAGAACAGACAGGTTACAGAAAATACAACAGAACGAAAGAAAGTGGACAGAACATAACAGAAAGAAAGAAAGAAAGAAAGAAAGAAAGAAAGAAAGAAAGAAAAAAGCGTGACAGAAAGGAATGAATACCCCGATGGGGGGAATAAAGGAAGAAAAAAAGCTAAACGAAGTATAAGTATAGATAATTAAACCAAGAAAGAAATATTTATGAATAAAAAAGACAGGAAGAAGAAAAAGGAAGCGAGAAACAAAGAAATTGTATAGAAAAAGAAAGGAAAAAAATCAAGGAACAAACAACTTTACGAAGAAAGGCAAAAAGAACGAAACAAAGAAAGAAAAAAAAATCAAACAGAATGCTGAAACAAGAAACATCGAAGAATAAAGAAAAAAAAAAGAAACGAAAGAAAATAAAAAAGAAACAAGACAAAGAAAGAAACATTATGCAGGAAGAATATAAGAAAGAAATGAGAATCAAGACACAAACAGGGTTAAGAAATAAGTAAAAAAAAAATCTATGAAAAATGAAAAAATATAAAGGAGGGGAAATAAACAATCAAAGAAGACAAAGAAAGAAAAAAAAACAAACACGGACAAAATAAGAAAAAAAAAAAGAAACAAAGAAAAAGAAAAGAAAAAAGAAACAAAGAAAAAACGAACAGGATAAAGACACAAAAACACACAAAGAAATGTAAGAATATTGAAAAAAAGAATGGAAGGGAAATAAATGAAGAAATAAAGATGTAATCAAGGAAAAGAAAGAAACAATGAAAGACGGAGAAAAAGAAAGAAAGAAAGAAAGAAAGAAAGAAAGAAAGAAAAAAAAAGAGCGAACAAAAAATAATCCGGATAAAGAAAAAAAAGAACGCGAAAATATCTAAGAAAAATCAAATAAAGGAAAGAAAATAAATAAACAAACAAATGTACAAGACAAAAAGGTAACAACCAGACCCTGAGCAAGAAAGAAAGAAAGTAAGGAAGCAAGTAAGAAAGAAAGAAAGCAAGAAAGAAAGCAAGAAAGAAAGAAAGCTAGAATGAAAGAAAGTAATAAAGCAAGAAAGAAAAAAGTAAGAAAGAAAGAAATAAAGAAAGGAAGAAAGCAAGAAAGTAAGAAAGTAAGAAAGAAAGGAAGAAAGAAAGGAAAAAAGAAAGAAAGAAAGTGAGAGCGAGAGAGAAAATAATAATAATAATAATAATAATAATAAACAAACAAACAAGACAAAGAAAAAGAAATACGAGAAATCTAAGTATAATGATAAAAGAAAAAAAGAAGGGGGAAACAAATAAAGATAAAAAGAAAGAAACACTCAAGATAAAAAAATGAAACAGCGAAACACGTAGAAGGAAAGAAAGAAAGAAAGAAAGAAAGAAAGATAGAATGAAAGAAAGAAAGAAAGGAAGGAAGGAAGGAAGGAAGAAAGGAAGGAAGGAAGGAAGGAAGGAAAGAAGGAAGGAAGGAAGGAAGAAAAAAGAAATAAAAAACAAACAGGATAAAGAAACAAAAAACAAGCATAAATCTAAGATTAATGAAAAAAAAAACGAAAGGAAAGATAGGAAATAAAAAATATTAAGCAAAATAAAGGAATAAACAATGAAATACAGAAAGAAAGAAAGAAAGAAAGAAAGGAAGAAAGGAAGAAAGAAAGAAAAGAAGAAAGAAAGAAAGAAAGAAATAAAGAAATAAAGGAAGGAAGAAAGAAAGAAAGAAAGAAATGAAACTGCTCGTCTTCAACACCTGTAGACCATCTGCTACTTGTCTCGTATTACCAATCGCTTTGGAAGTGCTATTCTCACCTACAAGCGGCCTCTTTGCTCTAATATTCGCCAAGAAAGTGTTTTATTGTAGTGTGTCACGTTTTTTTTTTAATCTCTTTGTTGCGAACGGAAGTGAAATAAAAGACTTTATTATTTGTTCAGAGGAACAATAAAAGGTTACAGTCCATAAGTGACTAGATAATTCTAGCGAAGTAGCACGCAGATTACATCAATCAGGGAATATAAACCTATTTAATTAAGCATAGGTACCTCCAGAGATTCGCGATGCCTAAAGTATATATATAAAAAAAATGAGAAATCATTCTTGAAGCATTTATTTTAGGTTTAATTCCAAGCTAATAGATTAAATTTAATATTTCCAATAAGGAAAAATACTTTATTGTTTTTAAAAAATAATTGGAAGGTGTTTTCGTTTTGAAATTTTTGATATTAGCTCCATTTTTAGCTACCTGTCGTTAGAATGTAATTTTCTTTATTAAAAATTCTCCCGAAAATAAAATAAACTCTTCTGAATCTTTGAGGAATATTAGCTGATTTAAAGTAAGATTAATCTGATTTGAAGCAACTATTATTTCCTTTGAATTTAAAATAATCCAGATATGCATTTTTGAACACGGTCGGTAGCTTCTTATTTCAGCTGGGAGGTTGCGACAGCTTGATGACAGATTGATATTTATTTAATGTTTTTTTTTACGCGGGTTTTATCCGTAAAAAATAATTATGTGAACGCCTTTTATATATAATTTTTATATACGCAGTAATCTTTAAAAAATATGAAAATATTCTCCGTAATGTAATGTTTTATTGATACTCTGGCTTTACATTTCTTATAGTTATCGCTTCTATTTGCTGATAATATCGTGTATGGACATCCGTATATACAAAAATCGGCACGTTTATACATATACAAAAAAAAAAAAAAAAAAAAATTCAAATTGTTTTAAAAATATTCGTGTTTGACGACTTGTACTAAGCTTTTCCACTTATGATTATTAAATATCAGTCAGCTATGAGCCATGCGTGATATACGCTGAGGCGATCATGTATCTTTCGATACATGACTGATGAGGCAGATTTTTCCCCGAGGTAGGTTGTCAGTTCTTTCTACGATAGACGAGTTGTCCTTAAATGGTCTATAGATCCCTTCTCCCCCCTCCTATTTACCGATAACGGGTGTGGGCAAGGAGAAGAAAAAGATTCATACCTTTCCTAAGGGTATTAGCATGTAAGTGAATGCAATGGATTCGACAGGAATTAGAACTCGGATCTCCAATTTCGCAATCCGAGACGCTATCCATTACTCCACCGTAGTTTTTACTTAATGATAATATCCTCTAAAAGGGTAAAATTAATACAGAATTTTAAAATATGTAAAACTTAATAAATTGTTCTAATTAAAATTAACAAAAAAAGATGAAAATAATTCTTGTAAAGTTCACTATTTATCAAAAAAAAAAAAAAAAATTAAGAAAATAGATGATTTAAATTCTTAAGACAATTGGTGATTTAAATTATACAAGGAGTTCAGCTGTTAACTAATATAAATATTAAGGGAGTGAAATTTAAACTCTCGAAATTTCATAAGGTTAACAGATGTAAAAAAAATGTGTTTTCACCAAGATTTAAAAAAAAATAATTAAAAAATGATTTCATTCATTTGTCAATAACCTTTGAAAGTTTCATTAAAATCCGACAATCATTTGATTTTTGCAAAATTTTCCAAAGTAATATTTTCTTTTTTACCGCAAAAAAGACGCTAACATTTCATATACTAATAATTAACTAATCTTTGGTTCTTACCGCTGACACAAGAAAAGCAAAATTTTTAACCAAAATTTCGAACGTGCAAGAAAGGTACAAAAAATTTAATTAAGTAATTGTTGTAGAGTAAACGAAAAATTTTTCTTTTCCTGTGTGAGAAACGAATCCCTCATCGCCAATGTTGTAGAGTAGTTTTCACAGTGGAGGCTTGTATTTCAATAAGTCGTCCTAAATTAGGTTCGACGTACAAAACGTTAGGAACTTGAAATAAGAGTTAATGACGCAGCAATCTAGTTGTGATGGTTGGTACTTCAATGTCCGACATCGACTGACTCACTCAACACCACTGAGCCCAACTGGCGATCGCTACTACTACGACTACTACTTATTATGTATGGGAGAGTCTATTAATAATAGAATAGGTACGTTCAGGTATAACAATAATAAAAAAAATGCTTTGGTCTTTCCTCTTAATAATATAAATATTTTGACTGTTTTTACCATCATGGCATGCTCTTTTCTCATCGAATTAGTAGACGTATCTAATTAAGCAGGAAAGAAAGAAGCCAGACAAGACGTTTTTCTTATGTCACTTTAGGGCGATCATGGTTCTCCACAACTTCCTACTCTTTCTTCCATTTACACAAGTTCGTTATGTAGTTTACTTGATGTTTCCCTCCAACGTCTCTCGTGCCTTTAATATGTCCTGTGCGTGTCAAATTTGCTAAAGGCTCTTCATTTATCCGTGCCAGAAATTTCAACTATTTTGTTCTTATCCTAAGCACAAGGATTCTTCTTGTTACCATTAGCATTAAAAATCCTTGTTGCTCACATCTCTTGTCCATGTTATCCTCAGCATCCTTCTGTAGAACCATTTATTTATTTAATCTAAGGGGATAGACTGTTCTAGTTCCACTGCTCATGTCTAGGGATATTGTTTAGTTTTTAATTTTATTTAGTACTGTTTAGCTATTGCTCACCCGTTTCCACTAGCAATAGATTAAATAAAGGGTTCGGTTCAGAATTCCCTCTAGGTTACCCAGATTGGTATACAACTGAGGAAGGCCAGAGGGTACAACGGTCGAAACGTTGGGAGAAAAACGGCAAAGATGACAATATTCCGAATATAAATAGTGTAAATAATGATAACTCATCTCAGAAGTCCAGACCAAACTGTCATAATAATATAAAAAAAAAAAAAAAAATTAATTAAAAAGGTTTATTCAAAAATCGATTATTTTTCGAACAACCTAATATTATTTTGCAGTGTATACACAGGGTGCGTCGGGTATTTGAGAACAGATTTCTGCAGGAGATAGATATAACATTAACAAACCGATCACATTAATCATTGGGGATGAGTAATATATTTTTGTGAAACTATTATAATGTTATATTAGAACCCAAAAGGTTTATTCTAAAATCGGCCATTGTTTCCCCGCAACAACCTAATACTATTTTCCAGTGTATACACAGGGGGGGGTGCGTCAGGAATTTGAGAACAGATTTCTGACGGAGACAAAGTGGTCACATTAATCATTGCGGATGAGTAATATATTTTTGTGAAACTATTATAATGTTATATTAGAACCCAAAAGGTTTATTCTAAAATCGGCCATTGTTTCCCCAAACAACCTAATACTATTTTCCAGTGTATACACAGGGGGTGCGTCAGGAATTTGAGAACAGATTTCTGACGGAGACAAAGTGGTCACATTAATCATTGCGGATGAGTAATATATTTTTGTGAAACTATTATAATGTTATATTAGAACCCAAAAGGTTTATTCTAAAATCGGCCATTGTTTCCCCGCAACAACCTAATACTATTTTGCTGAGGTATTTGAGAACAGATTTCTGACGGAGATAGATATAAAATGAACAAAGAAGACATTATTATGATTAGGAATCTCTATCTATAAATGGCAAGATATGTGTGTGTGTGTGTTTGTGTGTGTGTGTGTGTGACGAATGCACGGCCGCAATTTTCGACGGATTCGCACCAAAATTTACATGCACATGCTCCAAGTTAACGGGAAGGCCAAGACCGACTTTGCATTTCCCAACTCCCATCAATAGTGGAAATAATCGATTTTTTCATGCTTCTACGGCAGCCATTTTGTACTGGCCAGAGTGAGAGTCTATAGCTGGCTGCCATGAATAGGCAGGAAGATTCTGTTGGCCAGCGTGAGAGCCAACAGCTGACTGACATGAATATTAACTAGCATGCTAGCATGCAAAAAAAAAAAAAATCGATAGCTGCATTCGTCACAGGTGGGAAGAATTTAAATCTGCATGGCACTTTACTCCAATTGGCTCATTCGCTTGCTTAAACCCAACATTGATTCTGATTCCGCAGAACTGGGTTGGGTGTGAAAAAGTATTTGTTGTTAACATTCTTTTTTCATTTACGAGTCCTTTTTTAAAGCTGATCGTTTTGTGTTCATTTTGTTTAGTTCTTTTTTTCGTAACAGATTTAATGTTTAGTATAGAGCTTAGAAAAATATCGCAGTGTGAGATAGGCAAGAAGTAAGCCATGTAGCAACATCAGCATGACAAAGGGCACTCCTTTAAAGGCAAGGAAGGGCAAAAATATTTTAAGTCAAGTGATAGCGATTGCTGTATGAGTCGTACGATTTTTGAATCAAGCACGGGCAACGCCGGGCCATGCTGCTAGTATGTGATATAGTTTTCTGCAATTAAAAGTTTTATTCTACGAACAACCTAATAAAAGAGTAACATGAGATTATAAAAGTGCTGAGCGGCGGGAACACGACTTTGGAAATATGCGAAAAACTACTCAGATTTTTAGAATCCTTATGTCCAAGCAGGAATTCTTGCTAAAATAATGAATCACATGTCTTCTTTTCTCATGTTCAACGTTAAGGATATTTAATTTTTTAGGTTAAATTCTTGAATCGTGCCATCTAAAATCAACAAAGAACACATTGTATTCATTATGACTGAGTAATATACGTATTTTTGTGTAACTCTTATAAAAATATACCAGAAAATAATTAAACGATTAATTTCAAAATCGGACATTATTTCCCCAACAACTACATACCAATTTCCAGTGTAATAAAAGTGCGCGTCACTTATTTGAGAACACATTTCTACAGGAGATTGATATAAAATTAACAGTGTGGTCAATTTAATCATTAGGAATGAGTAATATGCGTATTTTTGTGTAACTCTTATAAAATATATACTAGAAAACAATTAAAAGGTTCATTCCAAAATCGGGGATTATTTCCCCAACAACTTAATACCAATTTCCAGTGCAATAAAAGGGCGCGTCACGTATTTGAGAACACATTTCTACAGGAGACTGATATAAAATGAACAAAGAAGACGTTATTATGATTAGGAATGTGTAATATAGTTTTCTGCAATTAAAAACTTTATTCAGCCTAATAAAAGAGTAACATGAGATTATAAAAGTGCTGGGCGGCGGGAACACGACTTTGGAAATATGCGAAAAAACGGCTCAGAGATGACGGCACCACTGAGAAATAAATATGAAACGTTGGGAGAATACATGTATAATACATCTGTTAACGGAGGGGGGGATGAATTGGTGAGTCGAATTCGTCTCGTTTTAGTCTGCTGCATTCCTTTTCGACCTAATGCATTTAATAAAGTCATAAATCCGTCTCTTCCCCCCTCCACTCACTCATAAGTTTGAACTAGAATTTCTAGCCTTGGCTGCTGACCAGTCTAAAGGAAAGAAACTCTATGAATTTCAAACCGTGGATAGGGCAACGAGAAAAAAACTTCATTGATTTTCCCAAGAAAGTATAGAAAATTTAGAGATAATGAAAACGGAAACAGTGGAGGGACATAAACAAATCATTTGCAATACTTGCTTTAAGAACTGTATTAAGAATTGTATTAAGGATACAATTGTATTAAGGATACAATTGTATTAAGGATACAATTGTATTAAGCATGGCATATAACGAAATACGAGAAAAAAATGTTAAAATAAAAATCGATAAAAGGTGAAAATCTATAAAAATATCTAAATTTAAATCTGAGAAATAAACTGTGAACTATTAAGATGACGGTAGTCCCTGTAATCGTTGGCGCACTTTGTTTTTTTTCAATGATGATCAAGTCTCAAGAGTCACTCGAGGTAGAGGCGTGTAGTGTAAGAGGCTCGAGTCAAATGATAAAGCCTTGGCGCCACTCTAGTACTGTGCTTAAATTCATAAATTCTAGGCACCACAGAAGAAAGTTTATCAAAACAATTACCATGAAAGTATTTATAGAAAAGGAATTTACGTTGAGTCGGCGGGAAAGGGAGCTGAGATGCCAGGTCAGAATCAATAACAATGCTGATTCTTCGTTGGATTTTATCAAGAATCTCTAAATATATAACAAGAGAACCAGTCCAGATGCTTCAGCAATATTCCAAGCAAAAATGAATGGTAGACTTATAAATATGCAAGATAAATTCCGGAGCGTGAAATAGCAAGAAAAAACTTTCAAGCGTTCCACACACAGTTCTGAGATTTTTGCATCAAGTTGTCACCATTTTTACCTCTTTTCACTTCTAGAAGCTTGAATACAGATAAAACATTTTCTTTAACTAGTTCTTACCGTCTTATTTGCAAACAAATACTCCAAGAGTGACATAACCTCATGAATCTTACTAAGTAATAAGCTAATGTAACCTACAGAGACCAGTTAGTCATTTAAACCCAAATCATGAATCAATGTTGTCTGTGTCGCTGGAAAAAAGATAATGATACTTGTGATCCCCAGTGAAACATCAATTGATTCTAACTGTCTTTTTAAAGTTAATAAATTAGAAAAAAAAATTCAAAGAAGCCTTGTGGTCTGTAATGGAAAGAAATTGATTTTCTTAAGAAATAGCATTAACGAAAGAAAAAAAAATGACTCATTCAAGAAGAGAAAGAACGAGAAATGTAGAAGAAAAAAAAAGACAAATACGAAAGCATGATGAACCAAAAAGGGAATTGCAGTGAATGTATTCAAGAAATTCTAGCCTTAGTGCCGTCAGAAACCAGTAACTGTCGGAAATTGTTTGATACTCCATCAGTGAATTTTGTCTTCTGGGCTTACGGCGAATACAAAGCAGCCGACAATAGCGGCCATCTTCGAAACACTTCGCGCCAAAGGACAGATATCTCAGAATGTTTCTTTGATTGGTGATCCGTGAATAAATCGACAGGTCGAGTATTGATTGGTTTCTAAAACTGGATTAAAAACAAAAAGAAAGAATTGCATGAGAATAAAAGTTCTTTTGACGAATAGGAAGAAGTTTAAAATACCTGCAGTTTCTTTCATTTAGAAATGTTTTTGTAGGTTACTGACGTACAGATCTAAGAATGAAAAAAAAAGTAAAGCGTTTGATTTTTGTTTGTCTGTTTTCTTATTTTATATTGACATAAAATTCACATTCTGAAGTAAGACAACGAACTGTTCCATCAGTTTTGAATTGATAATTATTTTGGAATTTCAAAGGTTGCAAGTACACAAAGACAATAGGTTTTTCGGTTTGCTTGCTTACGATTTTTAATTAAAATTTCGGATATTCTCTGCAAAGAAGTAGCTTAGTAAGAGATCAGATTCTCATCCTATATAGAGTCTTTGATATCCCGCTATTTTTACCGTATTAATCTTCCATCTTTATACAGATAACCAATTCCAACCCAAACAAAGCAATGTCAGGGAATATGAAAAAAAAAAAAAAAGAAAAAAAAAAAAAGACTATTTAGGAGAGAGGACAACGAAAGAACAAGGATCAAGAAAATAAAAGATAAGATTGAATTGTATGTAAATTTTGAAGATCCAAGTTAATTGGAAAGCAAGAAGCCGGAAGAGAGTTCCACAGGCGAGAAGTGCGGTAGAAGAAACTGCTAGCATAGAAAGTACAGTTATGTTTAATTATAACTGTTAAATGATGAGACCTTGCCACCAGCTAAGTTTTTTTTCTAAGTTCTGCATTAAAGTTATAGCAACCGCCGTCTGTCTAACTCTCTGCATCAGCAGGGAGGATCCCGGATGAAGCTTTGCCGAAGGGCAAGGTTTCGTTCGGGGAGGTTGACAGCTCTCGAACCCGCCTAGGCGGGTTCGAAGGCTATATTTTTGGCCGGGCCTACGGGCTCGGATTACCCACATTAAACTAGGCCTTGTGCCACATGCTATCCCACGTGGGGGGAGGACAGCTAAATATTAGCTAAGTTCTTTTTCTTTTTATGTGCCGTGTCCTTTCAGGGCGTAGGCGATCACGGTCCTCCACTTCTCGCTATCCCATGTAAATCTCAACAGGTTTTATATTTCTGCCAACTCCCCCAGACCACGCTCCGACATCCACCTGCCCAAGCCCGCCACGTATGTGATGCGCTGCTTTCACCTGTCTCTTTCCCTCTATTCGTCCCGTGAGTATCAGATTCTCCAAGCCTTCCTTTCTAATCACGTGTCCCAGAAATTTCATCTGTCTCTTCTTTATGTTAAGCATAAGCTTCCTCCTTGTTTGCAGCCTCTACAAGATCTCATCGTTGCTCTCATGCTCGGTCCATGGTATCCTCAGCATCCTTCTGTAGAACCACATCTCCGCTGCCTCGATTCTCTTCTTCATCTCTGAGGATACCGTCCAACATTCGCTGTCGTATAGGAAGACAGATGTCACGTAGCAGCTCGGTACTCTTTTCTTTGTCACCATAGAAATCCTCCTGTTTCGCAGAACTCTGACCAGCGTCTGGAAAAACGTTCTTGGCCATCCCAATCCGTCTTCGGATCTCAGCGTCGCACCTAACGTCTTCCGTCAGAACGCTTTCCCGATACTTAAACTTCCGCACATGTTTGATTTTAGTGTCCCCGACCTGAAAATCGCATTTTGGGCTCATTCTTTTACTGATGATGTCTTCTTGTAGTTTATGGTTAGTCCTTTGTTCTTGCCCTACCTTCTGTAGGAGGTTTTGTAGTTTCTTTTCCGTGTCTGCTATCAGTACCGTGTCATCTTTTTTTTTTTTTAAGCATCTCACCCCAAGCAAGGCGGGAAGCCACTAGGACGCAAGGGGTTACAGAAAATTTAGAGCAAGATCAGATAGGAGTGATAGAAGAAAGGATGCGTATCTTATGTTGGTAAGGTTGGGGTCGCCAATGATGAATCCTGGTAGGATTTCCAGTTATCTCAGAATTGCCTCGCTGTATAGGTTGAATAAGTCCGGTGAGAAGACACATCCTTGCCTCATGTCTCTTTCTAATTTTGTATATTCGCTGAGCACATTCTCGATGCGAATGCATACCGTTTGCTGCCAGTATAGGTTCTTGATTATTCTGATATCTTTCCCGAATATATCAAGGTTGCTGAGTAGTTCTAGCAGGTCCTTTTGTGGTAATTTATCGAATGTAGCAGGTCTTTGTGGGCTAGCCAAATACAGCGCTTAAATTCATAAATAAATGTAAATAGTTACAACACCTCATCTCAGAAATATAGACAGATGTTCAGCTTATATATTTTATAAAATTTGAATCTTCTTTATATTCAGTGCCCCTTCAGTACGAGAACGATCATGGCTCTCCACAACTTCCTGTCTGTTATGGCCTGGTTCCTTGTACCACGGTGATAGTCCAAGGTCGAACCAATAAAGAAGAACTTGAAGGCGGATATGGAATAACACAGATATATTACAAACAGGAATATATACAGAGAAGTAGAAAGTGTTAGTACGAACAATCAGGTTTAGTAGTAATTGTCTGAACGCGACTCTGTTTCGGACTGCCTCTGACTCGACTGACTGACTCGCTCGCTCTGACTGACTGACTCCTGACGGAACTGACGGACCTCACTCCAGACTTCAGACTGAACAGTATTTAGTCACCCACCACGAGGGCATCATGTGGCACAAGGCCGGTTTAACGTGGGATCTTCGAGCACTTGGGCTCGGCCAAAAATATGCCTTTTGAACCCGTATCAACAGGTTCAGGGTCGGTTTACCTCCCCGAAAGAGACTCCGCCCTTCGGCGTAGCCTCGTTCGGTTTCCTCCCCGCCCGAAGGCAGAGAGTTCAACCGATCAGCCAGTCATCCGGTCTCCCGACTTCAGGCTGAACAGTATTTAGTCACCACCCCCGACGATGGCATCATGTGGCACAAGGCCGGTTAACGTGGGATCTCCGAGCCCTCGGCCAAAAATATGCCCTTTGAACCCGTATAAACGAGTTCAGGGTCGGTTTACCTCCCCGAAAGAGACCCCGCCCTTCGGCGTAGCCTCGTTCGGGTTCCTCCCCGCCCGAAGGCAGTGAGTTCTACCGGTCAGCCGGTCGCCCGACTTCGGACTGAACTCCCTGCTTCCTCTTGAGGCGCAGTATTTATTACGTATGGAATAGTCCATTATGTTATTATGGGTAAGGTCCCATAACACTGTCCTTTGTAGCTCTTAGTAAATTTTGTCTTTGCACTATCTCTCCTAATCCCTGTTGGTTCCTGTTCGATTAAATAACATCGAATCTAATCAGGATCTAGAAGAAGGACCCCTTGGGAATGTAAGATTGTATGTACGGATGCTGTAATTAATAGCAGCTCAGAATTGGAAATAGGATACCATCATGAAAGGTACGAATCCACCTCTACCCTCGAGTAAAATAGTATAATAATAAAACCTGTATGCGTAAATCATTATGATCTGCAAAAAATTCTTCCAATCCAAAATATTTGAATAACCTACAAAAGTTTGATAAGCCATAAAAAAAAAAAAAAAAAAAAAATTTAATCCCTTTTCTGCTAAACAGTTTTCGTCATTTCACATTAATCAAGGCGGGAAGGCCACTAGTACGCAAGGGTTTACAGCGAGTGAAAGTGAGAGAAAAGACTGGGTAGAGGATGGATAAGAGAAAGAATAAAAGATGAACGGGATTCAAGAAGGTAAAACATAGCGATTGACGTTGCATTTAAATTTTAGAAGATTGTAGTAAGTGAACGAAAAGGAGTTGCACAGGCGGGAAGTGCCAGAAAAGAAACCGTTGGTGTAGAATTGTTGGTTACATTTGACTATTTCAACGGTAAAAGAGTGGGACCTAGGTAAAAGTCTAGTAGCACGCTTAAATTAGTATAGTCGAAGAACCAGGGGAAATTTTACCTAAGCTCGCTAGGTAGGTTATGTACTGTTTTCCTATGTCCTTCTTCGATATGTCCTTTGGGTGTCAAATTTTTTAAGGTCTCTTTTCTGAAATTTTGCTCTAAAAATATCAACTGTCTCTTTCTGATGTTATGTATGTGTCTTTTTTAGTTTCCATTTTCTCAGAAAGTTCGCCGTTGTTCAGATGTTCGGTCCATAGTATTCTCAGCATCCTTCTGTAGAACTACATTTCTGCGGCCCCAATCTCTTTTTCAAATATGAGGAGATTGTCCAGTATCCATTGTCATATTGGAGGACCGGTCTTTTTTTTTGCGTTGTTTCTAACAAAAATATTTCTGTTTTTTAATACTTTGCTTAACTTCTAGAATACATCTTTAGGCATTTCAATGCACCTTCAGATTTCGCTCTCTCCTATGATGTCCTCTGATGTTTAACTTGTTTGATTTTGGTGTCTTCACTTTGTAATTCGCACGTTCCTTTTGTTGACAACTATACATTCTGACTACTTATAATTGTTGATTAGTAATTTCTTCTCGCTTTCCTTATTCTACCATCTGTAGGAATTTGTGTTTCCTTTCTGTGTTTTCTTAAAATAATGTGGTGTATACATATTTTATATTGTTAAGATTGTGACCACCAAAACCTGGTAGGGCATCTAATTCTCTCAGAATCACCTCACAGTTGAATAAAATAGGTGAGAAGAGACATCCTTATCTTACACCCCTTTCTATTTTTGTATATTTATTGAATTTAGTTCTGGATTATTCTAATATGCTTCTTAAGGTAACATCGAGCTTGGTCAATACATAGATGGGTGACTGTTTGGTAATAACAGGTGCTGAAAGCTTGGATGTGTGGGTGGTGTAATGGACAATAGCGTGGAATTTTTAAAGGGAGAGCAGAGTTCCAATTCCCATTGCATTCGTTATATTCTCTTACGCATAGATAGCATTGGGAAAGGTATCAATCCACCTCTTCTCTTCCAGATATGGGTTAATGAGCAGGACTTGTAT